TGGAACGGTCAAGAAAAAGGCGCAGGCCGGCCACGACCAACGCGGCGTGACACAGCAACTAGTCAAGACGCATCGAGCTGCCACTACCCTGATAAGGGCCAAGTAACTCCCCAAGCTGCCGGGGGCTTGGAAGGCCAGGGCATCGCCCATTCTGCGCTCCTAAAAATGAGAGCTCACGAGGGCGGAATGGTTGGCCGCGAGGATGGAAGTTGCGCGACGACCATGTTTCGGACGACCTTCCCCGCGGCGCACCAGGGTCCGATGGGCGCTGGGGAACATGCGCCTTTTCGACGAGTGGATCGCCGCGCGACCGGATCTCTGGAGGGGTCGACGCCAATCTGCACAGATTTCCTGACGCAACACAATGGAGGATCAAATTAGAGCTCGATGATCCAAGGCGGATTGTTGACTTCGAGCAGCATGGGGCGCAGGGCGAGCAGGCCTGGTTGACGGCGTCGAGACATTGCCGCGGCAAAGGCCCAGAGCGTGGCCAGGGTTGATCAGAATAAATGCCGCGCGCAAGGCGATTCGTAAGAATTGCATGTGCGACCAGCTAAGAGTGTTTCGGGTGAGCATGTCTGGCGCACTGCGGCCAGCCAGTCGTAGGTTTGGCGACGAATCGCGCGCCCGCCGCCCATCGCCCCGCCTGGGGGGGCCCTCCGACCCCAGGATTTGGACGGCCATGGCGCTGCCCTCCCCGATCACGCCCGCGCCGGGGGCAAGGGGCAAGATGGGGGTTCCTTTGGAGCAGATGCTGGAGCATGCGCGAATGGGGGGAAACGAAGGCTTGGCCAGAGCCCCCAGTGGAACCCTTGGGTTGTCCAGGGGGAGCTCAGGCGAAGGTCGGGCGCCGCCCCCGCCGCCCGACTTGGAGTGGCCCAGCGCGCCCGAGGCGCGGAGCGCCCAAAGGGGCGCGCGTTTCATCGAGTTTGGGGGCGCCATGGAAGCGAGGCGCCCGGGGGTGCGCGGCGAGCTCTTCAGCCGAGCCGAAGAGGGCGCCCAAGATTGGCCCTCGCGCCTGCGTCCTGGGCGCAGCCATTCGCGGCCCGCCCGATTCGGGGGCGGACGCGTGCTCGCCCGGCAGTGCGCAGTAGAGCTAGATGACTCGCCCACCGTGGCCGCAGACGGGTCATGTGGTAGATATGATGATGATTTTCGGATTCGGCGTTGCGGATGGGGCGTGGCCAGTCTTCGAGGCTGGAACCTAGTCGCACGGGCACACGACCCAGTAGCTTATTGGAAACAGCCAGCGCCCATAGCTGAAGTGACGACTGCCACGGAGGCCCTCGGGCGCACGAGCGGACCAATCGAGTTCGTGTTCGATGCGCAGGATGTAATCGACGGGATTCATCTAGGGCCCAGCGAGCACCACGCCAGAAACAAACGTCTCTGGCACAGTTGTGGGAAGCGGCTCGAGGCCGCAGAACTGCTGCCCACACGATCAAATATAATTTCTTGGAGCAAGCTGAATGGGCGCAGGTTCCCCCAACAAGCTGGATAGGAAACCGCCAAGCTGACAATTGCGCCGAGGAAGGAGCGCGAGGTGTTCAGGCGCCCGAGACAGACCTCACATACTTTTCAAAATCAATAACCCAACTTCTCGAGTGCAGGCCAACATCCTGGCTGTTGCAGAACAATTGCGCGCCAGGCCCAAAAGATTTACGACGACATTCGGGGAGGACGGACAGGAACCATGAGGCCAAACGGCACGCTGCCATCCAGATGTCCGACCAACAGGTTGAGACCAACGCCAAAGGAAGGCTCTTTTGTACCGTGTGCTTCTCACGCCCAGCGGGAGCCAGCGGGAGCAAGGGCGAGGACCGCCTGGCTCCCTACCCCGTGCCCCCGCGAATCCGCGCCAACCTCACGGGCTGATGACTGCTGGAGGGGGTTTGGTGGTGCAGGTCTTGCGCGGGGAGCGGGGCTCGGACGCTTCAGAAACTGGTTACACCTTGAGTTGATAACTTGTCTGTCTTTGACAAAAGAGTAATACATGCTTTGCAAGCAGGGATGCTCCCACCAAGCTGCTCGGAGTGGCCCCAACCTCCGCTCAGATCTGGAGCCAACGAGGCCAGTGGTGATTGCAGCGCCTGATTAGTTTCAGGCCAAGGCGCCTCCTGTTAGAGGACCCAGGCGTGCAGTTAGGCAAGAGGCAAAGAGGGGAGGAGGAGGAGGAGGAAGAGGAGGAGGAAGATGAGGAGTAGGAGGAGGATGAAAAGGGGAGGAGGAGGAGGAAGGAGGAGGGGAAGAGGAGGAGGAGGAGGAGGAGGAGGAGGAGGAGGAGGAGGGAGGAGGCAGGAGGAGGGGGGAGGAGAGCGATGAGGAGGAGGAGAGGAGGAGGAGGAGGAAGAAGAGGAGGAGGAGGAGGATGAGGAGGAGGAGCGGGAAGGCGGATGAGGATCGAGGAGGAGCGAGGAGGAGGAGGAGGAGGAAGAGGAGGAGGAGGAGGAACCGACGACTTCTCCAACTCCGCCGCACGCTGGCCGGCGGCCCCGCTCGCCTTGGGTGCCCGTGGAGTCTGCCGTGGGCTCCTTCCCGTCGCCCGCGCACTCGCAGCCTGTGCCGAGGTATGCCCCGGGGCTGGCCGGTTGAGGGGGCGGTACGGGATGCAAAAGGACGTTTTCGAGCGCACGCGAACCCGCCCCCTCGCACCAGGAAAAAATCAGGGCGGATCGTGTTTTGCTCTCTTCGGTCTCTGCCCTTCCCGGGCCTCGGGACCGTCGAAAAACGTATCCAGATGAAAAACCAGCCTGGGGAATGGGTCGAGACGTCTGGGGGTCGACGTTGTGAAAAATCATGGCGTCGGGGGCCTGAGAATCCTACCAACGCTCTGGGCGTGAATGGTTGAGAGCGCTTCTACCCGTGAAGTTCTATGCGGACGCAGTCGCACGGCGGACTGACAGAGGTCAGGGCAGCGCCGCGCCTCGCAGCCGAAGGCAAATCCGATTGTGAAGAGGTCACCGAACTGCCACTCGAGCCATGAGTAATGTCTGCCGCTGATGCCGCGAAACAGACGCAACACACACACACACGCGCACACACACACACACACTTACTCACACATTACACGTTCTCGCATGGGTGTACGCATGTGCACCCGGCCACACACAAGTGCACGTGCAAACGCACATGTGCTCGTGGACGTGCAACGCAAACGATACCGAACGTGCGCTGGCGCTACATGCTCATGCGAACGCACACAAGCACATGCAAGCGCTAGCAGCGCGCACTGGTGCTACATGTGCACAGAGAGATGGGAGCCATCGTGGACAAAACAAATGGGCGAAGTGCTCGAGCTCCTGCGACCTTGGGTGGGCACGCCAGGTCCCGAGGCGAAGCGCCCACATGCGCAGAGGTGCGACGAGGGGAGCTTCTTGTGCCGACCACAAGACTGGGCAAGCAATCGCGCATGGTGCAAACGCACGATGCCGAGGCAACTACGCGCACTCGTCAGGCCAGACATCTTCGATCGCGTTCTCGCTGAGCTACACGCAGATGCATAATTGCACGTACACCTGCACGTGCACATACAATCACACATGAACGGTCATGCGCTGTCTGCGCATGCACGTGCACGTGCACGTGTAAACTGAAACATCCTGCGACTCGATTTTTCCGAGACATGGGTCCCGTCCTCTCGACCACTTCCTCGGGGCCGGTTCTTCATCCCGAGACGTTGTTTGAAGGCCCCAGAGCCCTGAAAGTGCCCCGAGAGGCCGAAAACATTGAAAACCTCCATCCCGATTTTTCCGAGATGGCGGATGTCTGGGAACGCGAACGCCCAAGCGCAACAGCGGAGATTCAGGGCAGCGCAGCTAGACACCAGTCCTCCCTTCTCCTCCGCCGCCACCACCGCCGCCGCCGCCGCCACCGCCGTCGTCGTCGCCGTCGCCGCCGCCGCCGTCGTCGACGTCGTCGTCGCCGCCGCCGCCGCCGCCGCCGTCGTCGTCGCCGCCGCCGCCGCCGCCGCCGTCATTGTCGGTGCCGCCGCCGCCGCCGCCGCCGCCGCCGCCGCCGCCGCCGTCGTCGTCGTCGTCGTCGTCGTCGTCGTCGTCGTCGTCGTCGTCGTCGTCGTCGTCGATTTCGTCGTCGTCGTCGTCGTGGTGCCCGCTCCGCCCGCCCATGGGCGCGGGCGGCAGCCTGTGGAGCCGGTGTCGCCGGTGTACTTGCCAACAGGGCACGACGAGCAGCTTGCCTGGCGGGTGCGCCCCCCTCCCCCATGTCCGCGCACGGTTTTTTCTTTGCTGTAGGCGACTCCCAACCAGACTCCCGGAGGTGAGGATTGGAGGGGAGGCCTGCTGTCTCGGATGAGGTACCCCATGTCCGCGCACGGAGTGATGGGAATGCGGGAGAAGGAGAGATGAGTACCGGGAAACGAACACTGACATACACAAGAACCCGCGGGTCCACGCGGATTCCTCGGATCGGCGCTGGGGCCCCCTGGCGGCGCGTCCGGCGTCGCCCCTGGCGCGCTCCGCTCGCCAGGGAGGGGGCTCAAGCGTCGATCCGAGAAGTCCGCGCGGATGCTCCCCTGGAGAAGGGGACTTCAGCTGAAACACCGCTGTGGGCCCTCATCACTCGTCCAGTCCTTGCAAAGCGGTGGCGGGATGCATCAGCAAGAAAGACAAAGACAGGCCGAGATGCTTAAATCGCGCAACAGTTAAATCGCACCAGCTCTCTGGGCGTGAGTGGTTTAGAGCGTTTCCTATTCCATCTTCCCCTTGTCCCTTCTGGGGAGGGGTTTATCTCTCCTCCTACCCCATCCCCTCGTCTTGGTTCTGGAGTGGCAGGGTCGCGACACATTACAGTATTCAAAACAGCTTCGGCGAAAACGCCAGACACGTTTTGGGACCATTGTGGCCTCCTGAGGAGAGACAAAATTTAGTCTCCCCCCCCCTTCTTTGATCGATCTCCTCCAAGATGGTTCTAAGATGGCGCCCGAGAGTACCCTCTTCCGCAACACTTTCTCCAACCGCAGGCTCCTCCACATCCTGATCAGGGTAACTCGCCTGGGCATCGTTTCTGGATGAGTTGGCGAGGTTTCGCAACATGTATAGAATATGCATGCACTCGTGCAGCGTGTGATGAGATGGGAAGGGTGGTAAGGATAATACTTACGAGCAGCCTCCTGCCCACGGTGAGTCACCGACGCATCCTGTCATGGATAGGGGCCCATGTGAGCAAATCAAAGATCAACCTACACAATGAATTTCGTTTTCGTGTTGCTTTCGTTTTTCTTCGCTTTGTCTCCAATCCGCTTTTGCTGAAAAACGCAATCGAAACGAAAACGGCCCACGAAATTGCCAAAACACCGTTTAGGTCGACCCCTGGGTCAGATGTTGTGGAAACGCATCGCACGTGGCCGACGTCCGATGCAGACCTCACTCGACTGTGGTCAAATTCTGAACGCCCTCTTGGGCAACCTAGTGACGCTGCATCTCCGCCTTGCGGGCACCACACGGCGGCCCGTTGCAAGCTCCAGAGGTTGAATGAATGTAAGAGAATGAACATCCAAAGGGCCAATCACATAACTACGATGGGGGAACAAGGAAACTAAACCGTGTGGCCTGCCTCCTTCGTCCGCGCGCGCTCGTGCAGCGAGCCGGCAGATGACGGGGGCAGGAACAGGAACACCATGTTGGACCTGCTCTAGAACAAGAGCGCACCGTAGACAGATCTAGCCTTTCCCCTCCTCTTGCACTGCGCCCGCCGAACGCAACGGCCGCGCTGTCTATAAAGGTATACATCCCGAATGCGTCTATACGCGCAACGGCCCCCACTGCGTCCGTAGACGCTTGTGGCCTATACTACAGTCTGGACGCTGTCACAAGGAGCCCTAAACCAGGAACGGGTCCCCCATTTCCCATGAATGAAACCTCGATTTCCCCTAGAGATTCCGAGGACAACCTGAGATAAGCTACAACACAAGCGAGGAACACCGAGCCCCTAACCAACGAGAAGATTTCCTTCTTCAACGGCCCTACTGTACGAGCCAACGTCCGTGCAGACGCCCCTTGTCTTGCGTCGCTCAGTTGGGCGGAGGCCGCAGCGCCGGTTGTGAGCGAAGGCGGAGGCGCCCGCTGCGCTGCTCGGGCCTGGGCGGGGGGCACGCTTACTGTGGCCTCGCCAGACGACCAGCACGCTGCAGAAGCGTACAGTCGGGTCCCGTACATAAGGAACGGTAGATGAGGAGCGAAGGCCGCCAGCGCGGCATTCTCGGCGGCTCGTTGGAAAGACAGGGGCCCCCCTCCACTTCGGCCCTGGAATGCCCCTTGGGGGCTGGCGGCTGTAACCCCCAGGCAGCGTCTACATATTAAAGTGCCCAATGTTTTTTATACATGGCTATTGTGGAGTTGGTGTGTGTGTGTTGGCGACGGTTGGTGGATCAGGATGGGTTGAACATCCCGCGGCTCCAACGTGGGAACCCCGTGCAATCCCGTCCTGATCCTTCCGTATCACTAAGGCCCTCATTGCAGCCCCTTGTCGCTCCCTGACAGAATTCAACCAGTGTAAATTTGGCCAAGACGGCAGAGCGCCTACAATAATATTGGCCTTCAGAATGCCCTCTCTAGCCTCTCACCTCACCTCCACCCCAGGGAATGGCAAGTGTAGCCGCGGTCGAGGAGCCCACCAGACCTTGCTAGGCAAGCAAGCGGATGGCTCCTTTAGAACGTCACACAAGAAAGTCTACCATGTTGGATGCTGTTCTTCCTTCAGTAGAGTTGTCTACCATGTTGGATGTTGTTCTTCCTTCACACAAAGCGGTTGCAGAAGCTGCTTGCTTCTACGGCCTCCATTCTTGCCGAGGCTCCTCCCATGGGTCCAGAATTTGCTGTCAAACACCCTGCCCGCCATCAATCAGCCATTGAGCAGATCCGTGCTGTCCAGGCGTGTACCAATCAGCGCTCGGAAGTGCAGCAGGCTGATGATCTAGACAACCACTCAGCGGCGAGTTCTTCTGCGGTTAGACCTAATCCGTTGCTGCACAGGGAATCTCCTGAGGACCCGCTTGCCCATTCCCCTTCGCCGATTTCCCCACCGCTCCCTCCCCCTCCGTCTCCGCCGCCTCCTCCCCCCTATGTCTGACGCCGTGAGAGCTCGTATGGCGGCGAATAGGGCTGAGGCGTTGCGTCGGAGCGGCTGAGCAGCTGAAGCTACCGGTCCAGAGCTGGAACCTGCTCGGTCCACCTCCGGAGTCGCCTCCTCGGGTGCCGAACGACAAGGTGCAAGCAGACTTGCACGGGTGGTTCTCAGCTGCCATCGCAGGGAGCGCATGATAGTGGCGCTCATGAATGGAATGTGGGGCTCGGGATAGGAGTGGGAGGATGGAGGTAACGTTTCTGTCTTGTGCGAGCCTCCCAAAGGCAGGTTGTCTGTCTCGCGGGAGCCTTCCAGAGGTAGGCGGGGGGGCAGTGAGCAACTGATTGGTCCACTGCTGGGGTTGCCCCAAGAATGGCCCCGTTGGCTCTGTCCCTTCGTCGCCCTACGCATGCGAGCCTCCTGGCATTACGGATTTAAGAAAATTACTTACTATTGCTTCTATATCACTCTCTCTCTCTCACACTGGCCTCTGTTAGACTGTGCAGGCGAAGGCCCCACCTGCGACACCCTCGGCCGCACTCCTTGCTGTCTGATCTGAGGCACCAGCTCTGTGGTGCAATAGGCGGTGGGGAGGCAGTGGAGCAAACTTAGGATAGGAGTGGGAGAATGGAGGTAACGTTTCTGTCTTGTGTGAGCCTCCCAAAGGCAGCTTGTCTGTCTCGCGGGAGCCTTCCAGTCTGCGAGCCTCCTGGCGTTGCCAATTTAAGAATAGTACTTCCCATTGCTTCTATGTTTCTATGTATCTCTCTCTCTCTCTCTCACTGGTCTCTGTTTGACTGTGCAGGCGCATGCCCCACCTGCGCCACCCTCGGCCGCACTCCTTGCTGTCTGATCTGAGACACCAGCTATGTGGTGCAATAGGCGGTGGGGAGACAGTGGAGCATCAGGTGGGGAGGGAGAGTCAGTCAGTCACGCGCGCGTTTGTGCGCCCGACGTCTACACCAGCTTCTTCACAGGCGCGCCCATGCCGCTCGCGAGCAGGGCAGAGGATGGAGGGGGAAGTGAGTTGATGGATATGAGGAGAATGTGAGGCTGCCCGATGTCGTTCCGAGCCTCTGGTCGCTCGGCTCTCGTTTCGACTTTGTGTGTCGATACATGGAGACGGCTTTGCCTTTGTTTTGATGCCCGCTGCGGGCTCTCTTGGTCTGCAGGCGGTTAAGCGTCCTGCATCCCCCCGGCATTGCCGCCTCTGGCGGACTTTCGAGGACATCCGAGTTCCGAGTTCCCTCCTCCCTCCTCCCTCCTCCCTCCTCCCTCCTCCATCCTCCCTCCCCCTCCCCCTCCCCCTCCCCTCCTCCTCCTCTCCTCCTCTTCCTCCTCCCCTCCTCCGCCTCCCCCTCCCTCCTCCCCCTCCCTCCTCCTCCTCCTCCTCCTCCTCCTCCCCTCCTCCCTCCTCCCTCCTCCCTCCTCCCTCCTCCCTCCTCCCTCCTCCTCCCTCCTCCCCGAGGCGCATCCGTGCCCCATCCTGCTCTCCCGCCCTCCCCCCCCCGAGAACCTGCGCCCCCGGCGCGGGCGTTGACCCTTGGCGCCCGTCCAGCCCTCGGGCGCTCGGCCGCCCCCCTCCGGCGGGGGGCGCGCGCCGGGGCCGCGGCCCGCCCGCGGCGCCTGCCCGGGCAGCGGCTGCTCGAAGCCCGGCTGGCACTCCACGGTGCCTCGGGGCCCGCGGGCCGGGGAGAGGGCTGTGGACGTCCCAAATCCTCTCCCAACCCCCAAACCCGCGGGCCCGCGGATCCGCGGGCCCGCGGGTCGTGATCGGCGGCGGGCGAGGGGGGGGGAAGCGAGAAGGAAGAGGCCTTCTCAGAAGGCGGCGGGGCTTCTCAGAAGCTCTCGCGCCTTTTCAGAGGCCTCGGGCCCGCGGGTTTGGGGGTTGGGAGAGGATTTGGGACTGCAGAGAGAGACAGCAATGGGCGAGACAATGTACAGGCTCTCGTAACGTGCTCCTCCGCCCCCCTCCCTCCTTCTCCTCCTTTCTGTGCCTGTGCACTTGTGCATTCCGTTGGATCATGCCTCGCTCAATCTGCCCACGCGTCCGCCAGGGATGCACGGCTTGAGCCAGCCCGGGAGAAGATCTTGAAATGGAGGTCGTTAGGGAGTCTGCGGGCACACCGCTCTCTGTAGGGAGGAGGAGGAGGAGGAGGAGGAGGAGGAGGAGGAGGAGGAGGAGGCAGAAAGAGGGAGGAGGGAGGAGGAGGGAGAAAGAGGGAGGAGGGAGGAGGAGGGAGAAAGAGGGAGGAGGGAGAAGGGAGGAGGGAGGAGGAGGAGGTGATCTGTGGTCGGAGAGCGTGAGAGGCCTGCGCGGCCGCCCCCCTCGTGTTTCTCGCCCAACAAGGAGCAGCTGTGAGAGGAGTTGGGACTGAGGTCGACGTGGCCTGCCTCTGGGGCTGTGGATGTCATGACAATGGACACCCTAACAGTCCTATCATCGAGTTAAAGATTTGTTCAACATGTCGGGGACATGTTCTAAACATGCTTCAGTCATGTTTTTTTACACAGTGAACACATATGTGAAACATCTTTTAGACACCTGGAAATTATTTGGCAGCATGTTTCCTCTCCACTCATCGACTTCCACAATTCTAGGGGGACACCTGATGACATACACAGACGAACTCGGAGGTCCGCGCGGGCTCCTCCGATCGGCGCAGGGGCTACGTCGGAAGCGCCGCCAGGATGGGGCCCAGCGCCGATCGGAGGAGTCCGCGCGGACCTCCGAGCTGTTATGTTTGAGTCGTTGTTTGTCCCCTAGTGTTGGACCTGCGAGGCCGCGGAGGCATTACGCCGTTCACTTTTGGAGGAGGAGGGAGCGCGACCACCAGGGTCTCGAAATCTCGGCTATGTAGAACAGCAGCGCGGGTCAGAGGGTCGCCGACTGCGAGGCCGAGGAAGCATGATCAGGAGCGGCGGACACATCCGTATCCGCGCCATCGCGGTCCGGATATCGGCGCGCGATCTCGCGCGTACGCGGTCGCAGAGATGCATTCCGCGCCGCGGTTTCACGGATGCGTTCCGCGCGGGGCATCCGCGACAAAACGCCCCGTATCTGCGGGGTCGCGCCCAAAAGGCCATGCCCGCGAGGCCGCGGATACGGATACGCGAGGCCGATGAAGCATGAAGCCTTTTCCCTTAGGAGGGAGCGCGACCATCAGGGTTCGACACCCTGGCGATGCAGAGCGACGGCGCGGGTTCGAGGGTCGCCCACTGCGAGCCCGAGGAAACATGACCTCGAGCAGCGAACATATCCGTATCCGCCCCCTCGCGGTCTGAATATCTTGGGCTGGGCGAAAAGGGGGTATAACAAAGGGGAGGTTTGAGAATCAACTCACGTTGCTGATTTTCCCGTCGCCTCCCGGCGCCGGAGGCGGCCATGTATCGAGGAATGGGCTACTCTGTAAGAACGGTTTTTTGAAGGCAAATCTGGCTTCAAAAAATAGTCTACTCTGTAGGAACGGTTTTTTGAAGGCAGATCTGCCTTCAAGAAACCGTTCTTGTGAAGGCAGATCTGCCTTCAAAAAACCGTTCGTACAGAGTAGACCAGTCTTTCCTCGTTGGGGCTGAAACCAGCTGCATGCAGCAAATTTCGTAACCCCCCCTTTCCCTATCCCCCCCGTTTCGTTCGAAATGGCGCGCCCCCCTCCGCGCAGCCCTCTTTCGCACACGACTCGTCAGAGCTTGCTCCCCCCCTCTCTCCACGAGTGCTCGGTATCATTACTACTGCCCTCTCTCTGCCCCGGGGACGTCCTGAGAATGGCGCGACCCCCTCCGCGTAGCCATCTTTTACACAGGACTGGTCCGAGCTTGTCGGTCTTGTGTTTTGTTCCAGCGGAATGCTCTGAATCCTTCCAGAACGGCTCCCACGCTGCAGCGTTAGCCTCATTTTCGGATCGGCTCCTTGCTCCCGTCGATCAGAATTGCGTTCTCGCCTCAACGCGTTCTGGGTCCAAATGCGCCTTCGCCGTTGCCAACCCTTCCTTCCTCCTCCCAACCTTGCCCCTGGTCCGCCTACTCCTCCCGTTCATCCTGATCATGCTACAGCAGCTCATCCTCGTCCTCCTCCTTCCACATCTTCCTTTTCCTCCTGCTCATCTTGTAGCTCGTCCGTCACCTCCTCCTCCTCCTCCTCCTTCTCCTCTTCCCGCCCCCATGTACACAACTGCTCTTTCCGTGTTGAGCGTAACACAAATGGGGTCCTTTTGGATGTTGCAGGTCCGCTATGGCACCCGTTGCCGGATAGAGAAACATCATCAGAGCATTCGGAAGAGATGGGAGGGGTCGGATGACAGCATGCCCCCTCCCATTCCCGCTCTCCCCTCCTCCCTCGTCCCCCTACTCCTGCCCCCTCCTGTTCCTCATCCTCTTCATCTTCCAACGTTATCCCTCCTCCTCCTCTTCCTGCACTCCTCCTCCTCCACCTCATTATCCTCCTCATCCTCATCCTCCTCCTTCTCCTCAGCCTCATCCTCGTGCTCATTCGCATCAGCACCACAATCACCTTTCATCATCACCAGCACCAACACCAGCACCATCACCACCATCATCACCACCATCGCACTCACCATCACAATCAGCATCCCGATCATCATCAGCATCCGCATCCAAATTCACCATCCCCACCATCATCATTATCCTCATCATCAGCATCATCAGCAGCATCATCATCCTCAACAGCAGCATCATCAGCAGCATCGTCAGCAACAGCACCAGCATCAACATCAGCATCATCAGCATCATCAACATCATCATCAACATCACCATCATCACCAGCATCGTAATCAGCATCATCATAGGCATCACAATCATCTGCATCAGCATCATCATAATCATCGACATCATCATCATCATCATCATCATCATCATCGTCAGTATTATCATCATCAGCAGCAGCAACATCATTATCATCATCAGTATCATCACCATGATCATTATCCTCAGCAGCATCAGCATCATCATCCTGATCAGGATCATCATCAGCATGATCAGCATCATCACCATCAACATCATGATCATCAACATCAGCATCATCCTCATCCTCATCCACATTATCATCATCATCCTCATCATCACCATCAACAGCATCACCATCAACATCAGCATCATCATCACCATCATCACCATCGTCGTCATTGTTCTCCTCATCAATCGCATCACCATCACTCGTCATAAATACCATTATCGATATCCTGATCAGCAGCATCCGCATACTCACCATCATCAGCATTAGCAACAACATCGGCATCATCAGCGACATCCGCATCAGCATCAGGATCATCATCATCATCAGCAGCAGCAGCAGTACCCTCGTCATCTGCAGCAGCATCATCATCAAACACATCATCGTCGTCATCGTCATTGTCATCCTAAGCATCAGCAACAGCATTGTCAACATCACCAGCGACATCATCATCCTTAACATCATCATCATCACCATCAACATCGTCAACAACGTCAACATGAACATGAACATCACCATTGTCAGCATCACAGTCGTCATCACCAAGACCTTACTCATCATATTCACCACCATCACCATCACCAGCATCATCAACATCGTCCTCATCATCAGCATCATCGTCATCATCATCCCTCTTTCCCTCCTCTCACCCCTGCCTCTTCCTTTCTGTCCTTTCACCTGCACTCGACAGTCCCTACCACTCCCACTCGGCTGGGCTCGGCGCCAGATAAATCATCGTTGGGATGAGTCCCCGGCGGTGCGTCCTCGGATGCGCGGCGAGGAGACAGGGGAGGCGGAGGAAGAAGAGCACTGGTAGAGGAGCAGCAAGCGGCATAACCATCATTTCTCGGAGAACTCCGCGCAGACTTCTTGGATCGGCTCAAGGCTGCTCGCCAAAGGCCTAAGGGCGGCACCTGAGGCGCCGCCAGGGGGTCCAACGTCCACACAAGAAATCTGCGCGGCTCTCCGAGAAATGATATCTATACGGCTGCTCACTATTCAGAAAGTTTTGGTTCAACATCCACGGGCATGCTGCCAGGAAAACTGGACTGCGGAATTGTTGGACAAGCAGTCACAATGCAGAAAATCGCCTGCCTGCTGCCCATTGAGCAGGGACCGAAGGGGAGGCATTCCTACAGGCCTACCACGACATAATCTTAGAACCAATGTCTGTTCGAAGAACAACAACGACGTTCTGATTGCATAAAACCGATGTGGTAAAACAAAACAGTCTCCATCATAAACGTTCTCATAATATTTCGTACAAGCCACAAGCGGTTATTGGAGCATTCATTCGTGGGCCTATAGGCAAGCCAGGACGCTTCGTTATTGCTCGAGTCCGGTGCTGCGAGACGAGGGGCAACCATGCCAAAATATTTGATCGTCTTTTTCCCGCAACCACCACACTGCGAGTGACTCGCGACGGCGTGGCGTGTTTGGACGACCAGGCCATAAACATCCGAGCCAAGACAACCTGGCCTCAGAAAACGACGGACCACCGCCGCCCCTTGCCACCCGCCACCCAGGTCGGGGACACTGGAAACAGTCAGGCAAGACACTGGAAACAGTCAGCAAGATTTGCTCGTCGAGGGGCGGAGGAAGACGAGGAGCAGGCCGAAGGGGGACAGGCGCAGGGCCAGGCGGGAGATGCCAAGGGGCGGCTGGCAGGGGGGGGCTCCTCCCCCTCCCCCTGCCCCTCCCCTCCCCCTCCCCTCCTCCTCCTCCCCCTCCTCCTCCTCCTCCTCCTCCTCCTCCACCTCCTCCTCCCCTTCTCCTCCTCACCTCCGCCTCCTCCTCCTCCTCCTCTCCTCCTCCTCCTCCTCCTCCTCCTCCTCCTCCTCCTCCTCCCCCTCCCCCTCCCCCTCCCCCTCCCTGGGCGAGGAACACGGGGCGAGCGCGCGCTCGGCCGGGTCGCGGCGTGGCTGCGCGCAGGCCAGTCCGAAGGGTCCCAGGGACACTCAAAGAAATCGACACGAATCCCAGGATGCCCCACATGTTTTCATATGTTCCCGGCTCTCGTCGTCCCCCCCACTCCCCATGATTCCGCATACTTTCCTGGCATCGGCGCTTATTTGAGTCTGTATTCTCCCCTCCTGACACTCGGGCGTCGGTGGGATAGATCTTGGGCGCTGCTTCGTGCGGGAGCGATCAAACGGGGGGGCGAAGACACGGGCACCCTTCGCGCCCCGTTTTGTGCCCATGGGTGCCCCCGTAGGGCCCCCGCAGGCGTGCCTTTCTTCTCCCCCCCACAGTGAAGCGCCCCCCCTTTCGGGGGCGCGCAGACATGGATCGGCGATGCATGGATTTGGCGCGCGGTCGCCAAATCCATGGATCGGGGGAAGTGCCCTCCCCAAAATGCGGCCGGTGCCGCCTCGTTCGCGGCGGCGGAAGTCGGCGATTTCCCATGGAAACGGGACCCGTCGCTAATCCACGCCCCCTTGATCCATGCTTGCAATCGCCTGACCCTTTGCGCAACGCCCGAGGATCCTCCGGCCCCCGCTTGTCGAGGGTGCAGAGGCGTGTGAGATTGTTGGCTTTCCACTTCCCCCTGTCCCCATCCCCTGAACTCCAAACCGCATCAAAAGAGGGGGGGGCATGACACGCATCCCTGGGGCCTCTGGAGCCTCCAATTCTACAGCCGAACCGAGGACAGGAGAACCTCCCTCAAAAACGTGAGCCCCTCCGCCGGGCAAAATATCACGGAACATCCCAGGGAGGGTACACTCCCCGAACCGACCTCGATCATCTTATACTGGGGGGCGAACAGATAGCACAAAAAACCGTTCGGGGGGCATGTCGACAGCACCCATGACCCTCCAGACCCTTAAACCGCGCGATATCAAATAGCACGCGCATCCTCTTTGAGGACAGACCACAGGGACAACGCGGAGGGACCCCGAGGGCCCCGAGGTGCCCAAGCTGACATCCCAGCTGACCCAAGCTGGGCTCCAACACGACGAGGAGAGCTCTGGCTGCTCAGGCGGTCGCCAGTCTGCCCGGGCGGCCTCCAAGACGCCACAAGGGGGCTCCAAGAGGACCCCCACGAGGACCCCCAAGAGACAAGCCTCGTCCCAATCCCTGGGGTATGTTTGGCATGTTCGCCTCTTTGGTCTCAACAACGTCCAAGATTGCAAGAGGCCCCCAAGACCGCTGCAAGACGGCTCAAGAAGCCCGCGAGAGGTCCCCAAGACGGCCGAAGAGGGCCCCAAGACAGCCAAAGAATCGCCCAAGACGGCACAAGAGGGCCCCAACAAGGTCCCAAGAGGGGCTGAAGAGGTATAACTCGAACTGACATGTCGGGTCCTCCGCCCCAAGAGGACCCCAGAGACCGCCAGCGGGCGCCTGAGAAGGCCGCCGAAGGCCCCCAAGGGGCCCAGAAGAGGCCCCAAGACGGTCCCCAAGAGGCACCGCCCGTGGACTTCGTCCCTCTCCTCGGGGTCGGCGGAGTGGCGCGAGCCACTTGAGTACGTCTCCCCTCCCTCATCCCTCATCCCTTTCCACTCCTGTATCCTCCTCCTCCTCCTCCTCCTCCTCCTTCTACTCTTCCTCCTCCTCCTCCTCCTCCTCCTTCTCCTCCTCCTACTCTTCGTCCTCATCCTCCTCTTCCTCCTCTTCCTTCTCCTCCTACTCTTCCTCCTCGTTGTCCTCCTCCTCGCACCACCAGGCACGGCTGCCGGTCAGGGCAATCTCGCTTGAGAGACATCCTTGCACTCCTAAATCGTAAGAAGCCTAAGCAGAACCTTTCGTGGAAAGCACCGAGGTTAAATGTCAGGACTGCAGACCAGTCATTGGACTGTCAACGGACGGTGCGGCGACAGATCATACCCAAACGCTCCTGCCTGTCCTCCTGCTCATGCTCCTGCTCACCCTCGTCGTTCGTTTCATATCATTCGTCCTCGGTGTCCTCCTCCAGCTTCTGCTCCTGCCCCTGTTGCCTGCTGCTGCTCCCCTCCTCGTCCTCCTCCAGCTCCTCAAAGACCTCCTTCGCATCAGGCCTGCTCCTGAACGCATGCCTGCTCCTCCGCTCTGCCCGCCGCCCCTCCGACGGAGCCTCGCCTCCCCAGTGGCCCCCCCGGGGCTGCGCCCCGATTCGGCAGCAGGCGCTGACCCGCACAACCTGCGAGCACACTGGCTCCCGGTGCCGGTGCCCGACTGAGAGTTGCCAGATGGTCTGGTACCGGAAATTTTCGGTAGCGATTTCGACGCACCCCGAATTTCGGTACTCTGTGTCCCTCAATAGTTCTGGGTCCCCGGACTACGGGTACCCCCCGGACTACAGGTACCCTCCCCCGGACTACAGGTACCCCTCCCCCGGACTACAGGTACCCCCCCCCCGGACTACAGGTACCCCCCCCAGGACTACAGGGACCCTCCCCCGGACTACAGGTACCCCCCCCGGACTACAGGTACCCCCCCGAAGCTTCATGTGCCCCCCGAAGCTACACGGCCACCCGAGTTGTCTACCCCCTCCGAGCCGAAACGGTCCGCCTGGAGTGTCTCTGCCCAATGCCGCCCATGCTACTTAGGCGCAGTTCGCCAATGCTGGGTCGGAGCCCGAAGCGGGGCACTCGCGAGGGACGAATGGAAACGCAGGGGGGAAGATAACGATAACAAGTAAAAGAAAGAGACAGAGCAGGAGAAAGAGGGAGGTAGGGAGGGGTGTATAGGTAGCAAGAGATAGAGCAGGAGAAAGTGCTTTGACGCGTGAACGCGCGTCCCCCCCCCGGACTGCAGGTACCCCCGCACGCGCCCTCCCCCGGACTACAGGTACCTCCCCCCGGACTACAGGCACCCCTCCCCCGGACTACAGGTACCCCCCCCCGGACTACAGGTACCCCGCCCCGGACTACAGGTACCCCTCCCCCGGACTACAGGTACCGTCCCCGGACTACAGGTACCCCCAGAACTATTGAGGGGCACAGGGTAGCGACCGGATCTTCGTTTGAGGGCGTTGAAATGGCGGATTTCAGAACGGTCTGATACCGGTATTGGGCGCTACATTTCGGTATTTCGGTAGCGACCGATCTCTGCGGAGCGCTACCGGAAATTTTCGGTAGCGGACCATCAGGGTTGCCTTGGCGGCGCGCACAGGTGGGTGGGGGGAGGGGGGAGGGCTTCTTCGAAGGAGGCTGCTGCTTGGCAGGCGCCGGCCTCACATCTGCAGGGAGGGCCCGCGCCTTCTGAGAAGCAGGGGTGCTTCTGGGAAGCCCTCCCCCCTCCCGCAGCCCCCCTCTGCGCGTGGCCGACCTGCTCCACCGTTTTGCGCGGCGGAGGAGGAGGAGGAGGAGGAGGAGGACGAGGAGGAGGAGGAGGAGGAGGAGGAGGAGGAGGAGGAGGACGAGGAAGAGGAGGAGGAGGAGGAGGAGGAGGAGGAGGAGGAGGAGGAGGAGGAGGAGGAGGAGGAGGAGGCGGAAGAGGAGGAGGGAGGGGGAGGAGGGAGGGAGGGAGGGAGGGAGGGGAGGGAGGGAGGGAGGGAGGGAGGGAGGGAGGGAGGAGGAGGAGGAGGAGGAGGAGGGAGGAGGAGGAGGAGGAGGAGGAAGGATTCCCTGCGCATCCCCGCCCCCCGTCGACTCTCGACGGCCGGGGGGCTGCCTCCCTGCTTCTGCCGCCGCGGCCGCCCTCCGAGGCCGCCGTCCGGCGAGAGCCACCCGCTCGACGGACGCGCCTGCGACCGCCAGGGCCTCGGCCTCCATCCCAACGTTGATCAATGGGGCCCAAGGACACACGAGTAAATAGACACAAACAACAGGAGTCCCTATGTTTTCAAATATTTGCTGGGTTTTGGTCTTCCCCCCCCACCTCCCATATGTTCCCACATTTTCGGGGGAATCGACGAATCATTGTGCCTGTGTGTTTTTTCCCCTCCCAACGTTGAGTCCGGACTGGGGCGAGAAAGAGCGCACTAGTACCGCCTCTGCCTCCGCCTCCGCCTCCTCCTCCTCCTCCTCCTCCTCCTCCTCCTCCTCCTCAGTCGAACTTTATTGGGCAGGACACGCGAGAGGACACGAGATCCTTCCGAGGGCCACGTTGCCACAGAAACGCAGGAGGCATGGGTCGCAAGACACAAGGCACGAGGGTGCCCTTGATATGGCAGGGTCGACCTACTAATCCGGGCCGCCTGTACTGACTCCCTACCAGACCACCCCAACCCAACCCGAAGACCCGAACTTGAGCCGAATTTCGGGTTGGGGGGGGGGTGCGGGTTCCATGTGTTTGTTCAATGTTCCCCGACCCCCCCCCACTGGAAACAGAGGGCAAATTGAAGCCTTCGAGTCGGGTTGGGGTGGTTTGGTGGGTGGTGAAATACTATGAGCCCTCCCAGGAGGCGCACGTCCTAAGCGAACATATAAAACACACCTTCTATCCTATACCGTTGCTCAAGCGGTATGGCCACGAAGCGCCCACCACCGAACCCGTACCACAAGAGTCCTGAACCCTCGCGGCGCCCCGGCGGGGCCGACACACGTGGTGGTGCCGGTGGCCGGCCAGATTGGTGGTGCTGGTGGCCGCCCCAGTGTCTCGGTGGTGCCGACGAGTGCCCGCGGCCGGCCAAATTGGTGCGCGAGGCACGGCTTGCCATTGCAAAGGCAGCGTGCGACATCGGCCTCCGAAGAGTACGCTGCCCCAGTGAGGCACTCCCCCCGCGAGGGCCCCCTCTGTGCGCACGATGTCCCCCTGCGAGGGCCTCGCCCGTGTGCGCCATCCCCCTGCCAGGGCATCGCCCGTGCACGCTACCCACAGGGTGGGGCATAGCGCGTATGAAGGGGCCCAGGGACACGCAAATAAATACACACAAATAACCGGATTCCCGCATATTGTCCCAATATTTTCTGGGTTTTTGTCTTCCTCACCACTTCCCGCATTTTCCCCCTATTTTCTGGGTCTGTCTTCCTCACCACTTTCCATCGTTTCCCATATTTTCCTGGGAATCGACGATTCAGTATGTCTGTGTGTTTTTCCCCTCCTGAGTGTAACGAACGCGCGGGGCGGCGGCGCCACATCGCCGGAGGAAGAACAAGCTGCATGACTACAAATGCTCGACGGCCTGCGCGGAACTCTTGGATCTGCGCTGGACCCCCCTCCCGGGTGCGCGGAGCGCGCCAGGGGCGACGCCGAAGGCGTCGCCAGGGGGGCCAGGCGCCGACTCACGGAATCTGCGCGAAACTCAATTTTTGTTGTGTGCTTGTACAGCTGGACCAAGGGCAGAATAACATCCTCCAAGAACATGAGACCCTCCGCCGGCCAAACCGATGAACGCTCGACATTACCCTGCCCCCCAGGATGCACCAGAACACTCGGCAAACACGAGGAACATTAGGGGCCACCCTCCCCGAACCGACCTCGATCTTCTACCCGAGTCCGACCGTACTTGTTCTCCACTTCGAATAGTTACAACGCCGACGCCAACCGTAAGTATGTTTAGATTCAAGTCGGGCCTGTCCCCCTACAGGGGGATTTTCGACGAAACATAAAAAATACCCCTAAAATAATCCAAACATAGTCCTAAAATAGTCTGGGGGAGGAGGAGGAGGAGCAAGAGGAGGAGGAGCGATGACCCACCGAGGCCGCACGCGGACGCTTCGCCCACCTCTGGGGGGACAGGCCCGACTTCAGTCTAAAGGGTGCCGACGAACGCCCATGGCCGCCCGCATCGGCGCGCGAGGCATCTGCTGCGGGCGCGAGCCCTACGAGTGGGCGCGCGGGGCCGACACCACAATTCGGGCGTTGGCAGAACCGGGTTTAGTGTTAAGTCGGGCCTGTCCCCCTACAGGGGGATTTTTTACGAGAAATAAAAGATACCCTGAAAATACTATAAACAACTAAAAACAACATACAACAAAAACAATAGTCCCCAGACTATTTTTGGATTATTTTTGGGGTATTCTTTATTTTTCGTCGGGAATCCCCCTGTAGGGAACAGGCCCGACATAAGCTTACTGGGGCATGGTTTAGTGATGCATGCTGGGGGACGCCCCCCGCCCCGTTCCACTAACCCGAACTGCCGTCACCCGAGGAAGCACCAGCTACGGCAAACCTGGTTTAGTGATTCTGGCCAATTCAGGGGCTCCAGGGCCCTGCCACTAACCGGGTCCCCTTACCCGGGGTCCTGGCCATACCCGATACAAGGCGGTCGGCCTCGCCCCCGCGGCGCGGCCGATTGGGCGCGGATATCTGGCGCACGATCTGAGGACCTCTGCTGCTAGCCTGCGCCGGACAATCGAGACGGACGCGAAAGGCAGAGCCCGGGCCAGAAGGGCCTCCTCCTCCGTGCAGCCTCCTGCTCCGCCTCCAGCTCAGCATCCCACCACCAGTGTCTCTTGCTGCCCGCCGAGCACAGCGGCACTGGCTGTAAGGCCTCCGCATGACTTCTGCTGCTGGCCTGTACCAGCCAAGGCGGATGCGACAAACAGGGCCCCGGCCAGAGGGAGGGTGGGGGCTGGCAGCTGCTCTGGGGCTTGGACGGCAGGGAACCGAGGGTGCCGGTGCCAGCAGGACCAATTTGAAGCTCGCGAACGGCACGAGCGCCCCTGGCAAGTGCAGGGGCCGCAAGAGCATCGCACAGCGACAGGGAGTGGCGCAGGCTGCGGCTGCTGCGCTGGCTCTGAGGCTGGGGCCCAAGCCTGATGACCAGTCAGGCTGGTGATCCCGTTGGGCGCGAACGAATGGGGGGGGCTCGGGCCCTGAAGGCCCTCTTTGGGGCCCTGATTGGCCCCTCCAGGGGCCCTGAAGGGCCCCTTTGCGGCAGCCCTCGCTGACCCCTCCATTTTTCGCCCCTCCAATAATTCGCGCCCAATCCCGCCTCCCAGGCACCGGCACCGGCGGTTGACAGGCCCCTGGCTGCTGCTGCTCAAACTCCTGCGTCTGCGCGATGCTCTCGGTGTACCCTGCCTGCTTCCTGCAGCGCCCCGGTCCGCGGCGGACTCAACTCTCCACCAGGCTTTGGTGCCAGCGCCGCCCGGGTTCCCTCCCACGCGGCTCCAGAAACGCAGCGCCCCCCGGCCAACTGGAATTTGCCTCCCCGTTGTTCCCAGGGATCGGCGCCAGGGTCGCCTCCAGCACTCCTGGGGCGCCAGCGTGAAGGGGTCGACGCGCGAGGTTCTGGGGCTCGGAATTTGTTCAGGGAGAGTCGCGTCGTCCTCCCCTCGCTCCCTCCCTGCCTGGCCCTTCCCCCCTCCCTCTCCTCTCTCTGAGGCCCGCCCCTCAGCCCTGCACCCCGCCCACGAGACAGTCCCGCACGGAAGGCACCTGCACGAGTGCAGCGGGTGGGCGCCGGGGCGCGCGCGTGGAGTCGGAGAGATGTGAGCGGGCGCCGGATAGGGGGCCTCATGCGAACCGTACCCTTACCCCCCACGATTTCTGCGGGGGAGGGTGGGGTTCACTTCGCTCGAGAGCTCCCGAACGAAGCGACCCCCCCCCTCAGAAATCGTTGGGGGTAGGGGTAGGGTTCGCATGTGGCCCCCTACCGGAGTCGCAGGAGTGGGAGCTGGAGTCGGCAAAGTGGGGGCCCAGAGTCGGTAATCGACGATAGTGTGCGCGCCGCCCTCGGGGAACGGGAGCCGGGGAGGCAGGAGTCGGAGAGTCGGACTCCGCCCCGCCTCGCTCCCACCCGTCCTGCCCGCGGTCCTGATCTGCCCTCCCCTGCCTTCCGCCCCGCGTCTGTCGTCCTCGCCCCCGCTCCCCTCGGGCCTCGCACTCCGTCATGCCCAGCTCGCTGGCGAACTTTCCCTGCGGGCACTGCACGCACGGGTCGCACTCCGCGGCGGAGTAGAAGCCCTTGGGGCACTGCTCCTGGGTCCAAGGGGGCGGGGGCAGGGCGGAGGGCGGGAGGCGGAGGGGGCAAGCAGGGAGGGAGGGCATGAGCGAGAGAAGGCATGATGGATGGGATGGGACCAGGTAAACAATCATGGGCGAAGGGCGGGACGATGGGGGGGTCATGGTGGGTACCGAATGGGGGTGAAGGGGGATAGGACTGGGCCAGGGATCGAGGAGGGGACGAAGGGGAAAGGGCCGACAGGGGGGGGGGGGCGATGGGATGGACCCCGCGAAAATCTACAAACGTCCAACTCCGCTGGCCCCCGCACAACCGCACACAAGAAGGGTGCTATGTAAGCGCCATTCCCTGGCGCACACAGCGCGCGACAGGCATCGTGCTATGAATCCATATATGTGGTATATATGGACGGATTGTGGTGAGGAGGTTCTGTAACGAAGGCACCAGGACCCCCCGCCCCGTCGGAACAATCGCCACCATTCTGCTGTCGCATGTAACCTGCAGGCCGCAAGTCCCTGGGAGCTAGTTGCCAGCAGACGTGCTAAGTTGTATTTGCGAGCAACATCTGGACTGTTAGCTGTCAAAGATCGCGGCAGTTTCCTCGCACCGACACGGCAAAGAGGAACGTCGACGACAAGGAGAAAACCAGGGGGGAGGTCAGCGCACATCTCGACCCCACAGAACATCTCGACCTGGCTTGAACAGCCCACGTACGCCTCTCCGGCGCCAGGGGAGTGCGATGTCTTGACCAGGAGGGCTGCTTCGGCCGCGCTCGCAGCGCACGGCCCCACTTAAACGAAATGGACAACCCTCTCGGGAAATTCAACATGGGCATTCGCATGTAGGAGCTGAAGTGCTGACAAGTCTAGGTTCGTGCGCGCACTTGTCGTCCAACTGATTGCCGAACCTGACGCTACAACCAGCGGCGGTGGAGCGGACACTTTCCTGTCCAAGAAGGGGGGGACAACAACACATCAATCCATGCAAATGGTCCTCCTGGCGCCTCCCGGCGCCGCAGATGCCCGCGTGTTCGGGAATGTGCCTCATGGCGGAGCTGAAACCGGGCAGATTCCGTTACACCCCCCTCCCTCTCTCCCTGTCCCCCCTTTTCTCGTCCGACCCGATCCAAGGGTGCGCCAACTTGACTGCGGCTGGTCCGTGTCGGGTCGACCCCGGCGCTGGCCCCCCGGGGATCGTTCCTCGGCCACTTCCGGAACGTCAGGTCGTTCCGCGTCGACCGATTCTGGCCCGCCGGCGGCGGTCAAAAATATTGGCTGCCCGAAGTGGGTACGGAAAAGCTGGGCACAATGCCCAACAACAAATGTTTTGTCCCAAACCACCGGCGGCCGCTGTCGGCTCCTGCCTCGACTGGACACGGGCCGCGGCGGCGTGGGCAGCGAGTCCCGTTAAAGATAAACAGGAGCTGCTGTTGGGCATTGTACCCATTCTTTCTGTACCCATCTCGTGCGTGCAGAAAATTGAACGCCGGCGGCGGGGTCGCCGCTCGTCGACACGACGCGAACCTACGGTGCCGCTGCTCGCCTGCCCTGGTTGCCTGCATGACCGCCTCCGCGGCAGCGCTCCGCCTCAGCAGCGCCGCGCCGCGGCTCTCGCACCGCACGGCCCGCGCTCGGCATGTTGGTGCCCACGCTGCGGTTCCACCGCGATCTTGCCATCGCTTGGACGCCCCTTCACCGTGAACTCTTATTTGGACGCCCGAGATGGGTACGGAAAGAAGGGTTACAGTGCCCAACAACAAATCTTGTCCCGAACCAACAGCGGCCGCTGTGGGGCAAGCGGCCTTCTGTCTCGAATGGACACAGGCCGCGGCGACACCGACAGCGGGTCCTGTTCAAAATGAACAGGAATTGCTGTTGGGCATTGTACCCGTTCTTTCCGTACGCGTCGGTCGGAAGAAGTATGTAAAAACATGAAGTAGGAAGGCGGATTGAGTTGGTTGGGTCCAGGCCCCCCCAGGGAATAACAAAACACAGCAACAGCGTGTCGATTCTTGAAGTAGGAAGGCGCTTGCAATAGAGTGGGATCTGGGAATCCAAAAATACCTACCTTCAACGACCGGCGTGTACCTATTTCGCTCGTGCCGATCTTCGGCTTCCTGCGCCGGCTTTGCCGCAAGTTGGAGCAAGATTTATGTCGGGCGTGTCCCCCTACAGGGGTATTTTCGACGAACAAATAAAACATACCCTAAAAATGCCACCAAAAAGGTCAAACAAATCAAAAAAAGTAGTCCCCAGACTATTTTCGTATTATTTTTGGATTTTTTTATTTTTCGTCGAAAGTCCCCCTGTAGGGGGACAGGCCCGACTTCAAGCAAGATGCTCCTCGATGGCCCTCGTCGAAAGGGAAAAAGTGCACGCGCCCGAGCGGTGCCGAGGCGACCCGCGCCTCGCCCTCGGCGGTCGCGAGAGGGAGTGGGCGCGGGGCCCGCCGCGCGGGGAGGTGGAGCCGAAGCACTGCCCTAAGGAACCCTGGCCTGGCCATCGCTCGGACGTCCATTCCCTGTGTTTTTGTTTCGGTTTCGTGCGTGGTTATTGTCGCCAAGTGATCAAGGATGCTCCTCGATGGTCCTCGCCGAAGGAAAAATGCACACGTCCGAGCGATGCCAAGTGGCTAAGCAACGCTCCCGACTGCGCGCTGCGCGCTTCGCGCTGCGCGAAGCGCGAAAACCTTCGCGCTCTCGCGCCGCCTCCCCGGGGAGGAGAGGAGGATGAGGAATCGGAGCCGAACCGCGACGCGCGAAGCGCGAATAGCTTCGCGCCCTCGAGGGCGCCCTCGGATAAGGAGCGAGGCCCCTTTTTTCCACAAGTACAGCTTCGATCTCCCATTGAAGACCGAAGGAACACACACACACACACACACACCGACGACGAACTGCAAGACAACTGGGGAGCACTGAGCCCCTGCTCAACGAACAGGGTTCCGTCTTCGCCGGCCCGACTGCGGCCCCAGAAGAAAACCCCACGGCCGAGACGGGCTTCGGGGTGGTCCGCAACGCGCGGCCTCGCGCTGCCGCGAACCTTGACGATCATTCTGGTCCACTTGCAAGCTGGCGCGCGGAGAGACTCTGGCGGCGCACCCCCGGGAGCTGCTCCGGGTCCTCGACCTAGATCGCTGTCCGCATCACGACCTGGACTCGTTGCCTGACCTGCGCTGTCCACCGTCAATCTCGGCTGCGCGGCGACCACTCGGTCTTCAGCGCTCTAGCCTCATCAGGAATTCTCGACGCGAGCTTCGGCGATCCAGGACCAGGTTAGCCCTCCGACGGTCTGCCGCGCCATCAATCGCGATTGCTGGCGCAGCTCATTGCTGCGGCTGTCAGCGTGCAACCTTGCCTCGGCCCTGGACGCCCGCGCGACGCAAATCGCTTGACGGCCTCGACGAGCGCGCGCACATGCTGGACGAGCGCGCAGCAGCCAATCTCAATCTCTCGCGCCACTGTTCACTTGATCCGCGCTCTCCCATCCCTTCCCTCTCTTGATTGGCGCCTCGCCCGAACACTCCGCCCGGCGACAGCCCGGAGGCGCGCGCCGCCTCTTTGGAAGCCGTCCATCGGTGCATGTCACCTCCGCCCAGGCCTCTACAGGCACTCGGCATCCGACTTGCTGCTGCGCCTCGAATGGCGTGAGCCTCTTGCCACGGCCACGGCCGCCGCCTCACCCACTCCCCGCCCTGAGGGCACCTGGGCGATCGCCCGAACGAACGTTCCGATCCGGTCCGATCGGAAGATGTGAGCCAGCCGATGTCAGCTCCTTCGCTATGAACCGTCAGATCTGGAAACGACATGCTGTGGGCATGTGGCTTCCTTTTGCATGACACAGCCGTACTGTTGAATCCATCGTGTGGAGTCACAGGCCTCGTAATGTATGAATCCATCGTTGACCAATCTGAATCGCTGCATGGGGCTCCACCCAGCAGCACGGAATGCGGTCGCAGGTGCGCGTAAATGCCGCTTCGGGCGTCGAACTGCAACAAATTCCTGTGGCACGGAGCACAGACCGCCCAATCTGGTAACGGAAAGGCGCCGATTCCGCACGGAAACGGGACCCGCCGCCGATACACATGCGCCCTGATCCATGCTCGGGCCTCCTCGATCTAAATGCCTGCGATTATGCTGCACGCCCCCCTGCCCCTTGCACCCACCCCAGGTCCCCCTCCCCCCTCCCAGAGCGCGGCGGCAGATGCACGCGGCAGGCCATGCTGCCTTCTGATTCGACCGTGCCCCCGCCTGCTCCTCGCCTCGGCCGCCGGACGCTCCGCGCGAGCAGCGCCGGCCGAGGGCCCACTGCTCCAGTGGGGGCTCTGGCGAACGCCGCGCACGCGCCGCGGAACACGCCGCCCCGTCCCGCCACCACTGCGTCGACTGCTGGCCCGAGCGCCGGTGTTCCACCAGTCGGAGGGCACCAACTATACACCAACACCGATCCTGGCCCAGGATCACCCTGGTCCCAGGATCGGTGTATATGCCTTCTTGCGCAAGGCAGGAGGGCGTATACACCGATCCTGGGCCCAGGGTGATCCTGGCCAGGATCGGTGTTGGTGTATAGTTGGTGCCTTCCTAACCAGCGAGCCTCTGGCGCCACAGCGCGCGCTGGGGCTGCTTCTCCCACGGCTTGCGCAGCGCTCGCGCAGCTCCTGCAACAGAGCTGGCCCGCGCGGAGGTCGGCGCGCACGCCGTGGCCCCGCTCGTGCACGAAGCTAGCCTCGGCCACCTCTGCCGTCGACAGAGGCGACGGGCCTCTGGGTGTCCGCTGCGCGAGGTAAAGCGAATTGGGCTGCATGTCTTCCTCCGCTGGGGGGATGGTGAAACCCTTCGAGCCTGAGCGCTGTGCGACCCGCACAGCGCAACTCCTGGCCACGTGAGCAGGAACCAGAACAGGCGCCCTTCACACGGCACGCAGGTGCTGCATCTGTGCTCCGTGTACGGTGCGCCTTCTTGGTTCATGGCACGAGGCACCGTGCACCGTGCATGATGGACCATGCACTATGCCTCATGCGT